GGAACCCATGATTCACCAACAACCCATGGCAGACTTGGCAGCCCACACTTGAACCCATACCCGACCCTTGCCTGAACCCAGCCAGTGAAAATCTACTTGTACCAGCCTGCCATGGCATGAAGACAAGCCAGGAAAAAGGGGCCACCTCAACTGAGCACCACAAATGTGGCTGAAAACGAAAGCATCCAACACCAGACTTTTGAGAGTGAAGCCCAACACCTGCCTTGATGGACCTCTTTCTCTCATATACCATTTCTACAGCTCTGAAGTTCTTTCTTTGCTCTTATGCAAATGCTAGCACATTCTTCTCAACAATTCTCAGCCATCCCTAAATTGGTTGGTCGCTCACTGAGAGACTTTGCCAACGGACGCCCCAACTTTTTTGGCTTAAAAATTGGTTGCAGACGTTTCCCTACCTGCAGAGTTTGCATCAAGCTTCTCCCAGTTCTGCTGCTTGCAGCCGCCTGGATCTGTGCTCGTTTCTCTCAGCTACTCACAATGCGAAGTTCACCCACCTCTTAATGGCACAGGAACGCCTACCACCATCCCCCTGGCTTCCCACATTGTTTAATCCTGCAAACTTCAGTCTGAGGTTTTTATTCCTTGTACTCTATAAACACTTTGTCTCGTTTCAAGGAGATCATGTCTTTTACAAGCACAAAGCAAAGAGCCCTTCTTGAACATAAATCACTTTCTCCTTGAGAAAACAGGAGGAGGATAGCTGGACAAAAATATCTCCATTTTGGAGAATAGATGCAAGCAGTGCTTTCGCTTCCCACGCCAGCTTCATTAAGTTCTACTGCACTTCAGTCCTACAGATTTATAACTCTTGAGTTCTCTGAAAACGCAGCAGGGAATCCTGCAAAAAGATGTTTAGGCTTTCAGAGGTGGCAAAAAAGGGAAAAAAGTATTAGCAGCAACCAAAACCGGTTGCTGGACTTATCTGTCTAAAAAGTGTGCCGCCCCTGCAGTTTCAGGGCTGATCCCAAATAGCTAGGCCTGATTTAAAGATGAGCAGAGAATCATCGCCTGCAGGTTCGGCTGGGGTGCATCAAGCACAGGTCGTTTCAGCTCAGCTTGATGATCTCCCGCAAAAGGATGATCCCCCAAGACATGGGCTCCAGGGCTCAGTAGGGCTGGAGCCCGGATTTGGAGCCCCAGATTTTGGGGAGACCATCTGCCAAAAGGCCAGACTGCAGCATCAAAAGGGCAAGATCTGGTCTTCAGACCAGAGGATCCCCACTCCGGTTTGCAAGTGCTCAGCAAACCTCTTCCAGCTTTTTCAAGCGCTTCCGAAATGTGCTTGAAAACCAACTAAGCTCTGGAGGCCAACAAGAGAGTGTTGACCCAACCTGAACAGCAGTGGGGCTGAGCGACCGAAAGCATGACCATCCTGCACAGATCTCAGCAAGGTCTTAGGCGTGACTGCGTTGCGCTGGCCGGGGAAGCGCATGCCGTACGTGTGCGAACATCAATGGCTGTTCAGACTGCAAGCACCAAAGCTTCTTTTCATCTCGCAGGGCCCAGGTGACTCCACCCAGATTATCCGTTACCGCATTTAGCTCTCTAAAGGGTTTATCTTCGCTCGCACTGCTGTGGGTTGCCTTTCCCAGGCAGACTGCCCAGGCCCGGACACCAAGGAACGGGCCTCACCCGACGCCAAGAGAGCAACTGCAATGCTAACTGGTACCAAAGCAACCTGGCACGGTCTGGGCAATAAATTTACCCGGTGACTCTCAGCTGTTCACAGCTAAATAAAATAAACAGACCACAAAGAGTAGAAAAGGGTGGGGTGAGCACGAAAATATCAACACATCCTCCTAACAACCAAAAGTTACATATGTGCAACTAGCAGGCAGCCACAAGAATTCCTTCTGCATGTGCCCTGGAGGCAATCTTTCCTCCCAGCCTCAGTTTTTCCAGTCTGTGAAATGGCCCACCCTGCGTGGGCCATTAGGATATGCAGACGGCTTTGCACAGCATGCTGTGGCAGCCACAGGAAGGACTTTCCTTTGCACGTGCTCTAGCAATTTGAGAAGTAAGTGCATGAGAGAGGGAACCAGGAAAAAGAGTGATCAAAAGACCGAACTGGGGTTCAAACAACCACCACAAACCTTATCTATAGACCAGCCTCCCCAGTTTAAGTATTGCAAAGTATCTTCAGAACACACTGTGTTTTTGCAAGTGAACAGAAGCAGGCCATTAATTCTGATCTGGTGTCTTTTCTCTGCCCTTAATTGCCTGAGAGAGGAGGTGGGTTATGTCTGGGGGATTAAACCGGTGCAGCATTGCTCCTTCTGGAGCTGAATGAAGAATGCTCCAATTTGGCAACGCTGACCAGCAATGCCGGCTCACAGGAAGGTATTTTTCCAGCCCTACCTGTCAATGATCAAGTTCAGCCCTGGGTCCCTCGGTGTGCCAAGCAGGGCTTCTCCACTAAGCACATTATGGCCATCCCATAAGTCATTCATCATGGCCAAGAGCCCTTTGGAATTAACACAGGACTTCCTTCAGGGAAGAAAGTGTGCACTTTCTCCTCTGTTCTGAAGGATTTCAGTAAAAGCAGGTTGCTTACCTGTAACTGATGTTCTTCGAGTGGCCATCTGTGCATCACACATGTGGGTTCTGCGCCTGCGCAGTGCCTGTGGCCGGAAGATTGATAGCTAACGGTTTGGCGGGAAAACTCCGCTCCCCTCCCCGCTAGCAGTATATATAGAGCGGAGTGTCCGCCATTTTCCAGTCTTTGATAGACTGGACGTTCGCTCTCTACAGAAAAATAAATTACAGCTAGACTAAACAGAAAAAATTGGTCGGTACCGAAGAAAGAATAGAGCCACCCAATGACACCAAGCGGGGCCGGTGGGTGGGTTGTGTGACTGCACAGATGGCCACTCAAAGAACATCAGTACAGGTAAGCAACCTGCTTTTCTTCGTCGTGGCCTCTGTGCATCACACGTATGGGCAGAATAACAAGCTTACCCGAAATGGTGGAGGGAGGTGTCATCAACGAAGAATAGTTGAAAGAACGGCTCTACCAAAGGAGCAGTCCTGCCTCGCACGAACACACAGTATATAATGCCTAGCGAAAGTACATGGAGTAGCCCAGGTGGCAGCTCTGCAGACATCCTCGATCGGGACTCCTGACGCAAAAGCTGAGGAAGCAGCAACAGCTCTAGTGGAATGACCCCGGGGAACTGTAGGGAAGTCTATCTTGGCCAACTGATAGGACAGAGTAATAGTGTGAATTATTCATCTGGACAGTCTCTGAGGAGTAACTGGGAAACCCTGATTTTGTTCCGGGTATTTAACCAAGAGCCTATTGGAATGTCGAATAGATTCAGTCCTCGATCTGTAGAAGGCTAGACAGCACCGGACATCAAGAGTATGCAGGGATCTCTCAATCAGATTCGAAGGAGACGGGAAAAAGGCAGGCAAGATAATCTCCTGGTCCGTGTGAAAAGACTTAGCCACTTTTGGAAGAAAAGACGGATCCATTCGCAGAACTACCTTCTGTTTGTAAGTTCAAAAATGGAGGGTCTACCCTGAGGGCAGATCTCCGGGCTGAAGTAACTGCTACAAGGAAAGCAGTTTTCCAAGAAACAAGACGTTAGTCAATTGCTGCCAAGGGTTCGAAAGGAGGTCTTGTCAGTGCCTGTAACGCCACTGAAAGACTCCACGTAGGTATAAGTGGTCTGACCGTCGGATGGAGGTTGCAGAGTCCCTTAAGAAATCTCTTGGTTGAGAAAAAATGGAAGAACCCTGCACTGTAATGGGAAATTGCCGCTTCCCATTGAAGTCCGGGCCCAATTCAAGGTGTTGGTTATGACCTATAAAGCCCTAAACGGCTTGGGACCTGGTTACCTAAAGGAGCGCTTGCATCCATATATGCCCAACCGCCCCTTGAGATCAGCGGGAGAGTTCTAAAAGGAACTGGAGGATATGATCTATGGGCAGAGTTCGGTGAAAACGAGTGAGATTCAGCGAAACTAAAGAATCTATGCCACTTCGCCACGTACGATTTTCAAGTGGACGGCCTTAGCGCAGAATCGAGAATATACTGGATGTCTGGATGAAGAATTTGCGAAGCTGACAGAATATTTGTCGGATCCGAGGACGAAGAGGAGATAGATGGATTCTCAGCGTGGAATGGCGTGTCAGATCTTGGGAAAGGATCAGTAGGAACTGCAGATGGCGTCGGTACCGGGCCGACGTTGACTGCTATTGAATTCGCCAGGCTGTCAGTTTCAGTGACTCTAGATTCGGGTGCCGGATCATGCCCTCCCACTGAGTTATGAGATAAGGAATGGGAGGGAGTTGAAGGTATTCCGCTTGAGAAATGCGAAGAAGTGTCAAGGACCATGGCTGGCATGGCCACCAAGGAGTTATCAGCAGTCCTGTGGCCCCGTTGTGAACTATCTTTGCTATTACTCTCATGATAAGGGGAATCGGGGGGAAAGCGTAAAACGTCATATCGTTCCAAGGGATCATAAAGGCATCCCTGGATGACCCCCGTCCGATTCCCGTTCTCGAGCAAAACGTCTCGCACACCCTGTTCTGCCGGGTGGCGAATAGGTCTATGTCTGGGAGGCCCCATTGCTGGAACAGCCGGTTGTGTGTCTGATGGTCCAGTTCCCATTCGTGCGACTTGGACATGTGCCTGCTCAAGAGATCGGCTTCCACATTGCCTGTACCCACTAGACGTACTGCTATCGGGGTAATGTCTCTCGGGATGCACCACTCCCAGATTTGCACCGACAGTCGGGCTAACGGTGGTGACTTGGTCTCCCCTTGCTTGTTCAAGTAAAAGACTGTGGCAACGTTGTCTGAGGTTATCTGGACGGCTTGACAGCGAAGCACGTCCTCAAATGATTGTAGTGTTTTGAATACTGCAAGAAGCTCCAGGAAGCTGATATGATTCCTGGACTCCTGTCGGTTCCATACGCCCTGCGTGCATAGGCCAGAGCACAGGGCTCCCCATCCCAGCAGAGACGCATCGGTACCGAGAGTCACTGTAGGGCACCGAGGTCAGAACGGGACTCCGATGTTTAGGTTGTCTGATATCGTCCACCACAATAGAGACTGTAGGACAGAGGACGGGAGTCGAATTCGCGTCGTAGGTGACTTCGTCTGTGGCCGGAACATTCTGTTGAAGAACAGCTGAAGGGGGCGAAGCCGAAGCTTGGCATATGCAACTAGAGCAATGGATGCTGCCATGTGCCCCCAAGTCTTTGGACAGATCAGGCAGGAACCGTTCCGTCTCGTCGAATTCGGTGGAGGTGTCGAGCGATGGTGCGCTGTCTGTCCTGAGGGAGGAAGGCCTTCGCCACCGAAGAATCCAGCCGGGCTCCAAGAAAGTTGATCATCTGTGCAGGGACAAGAGAAGATTTCTCACGGTTAATGCAGAGTCCGAGGGCCTGCAATAAGTCACAAGCCATATTTACAGAGAAATGCTTCTCTAGTCCGGGAAACCAACAGCCAGTCATCGAGGCAAGGGTATATCTGAGCTCCAGGTAGCTGAAGGTACACGCAGGTGGGGGCCATACGCTTTGTGAAGACCCTTGGGGCGGTGGCCAGTCCAAACGGGAGCAGCGTGAATTCGTAGATTTCAGAAGCAGCCGCGAAACGGAGGAAACGCCTATGACGTGGATGGACTGAAATATGAAAATAGGCATCCCTCAAGTCCAGTGAGGCGAACCCATCCTCTCTCCCCAGCAACGGCAGGAAATTTTGAAGTGTGGTCATCCAAAACTTCTTTGCTGTTATAAATTTATTGAGAGCTCTCAGGTCCAATATCAGTCAAAGACCTCCGTCTCGTTTCGGGACCGTAAAATAGCTAGAATAGAATCCGTGGAGTCCTTCTGATAAAGACAAGCGATGAATGGCTCCTTTAGAAAGGAGTTGGTGAACCTCATCTAATCCTACTGGCAAGCATGGAGAAACCGGATAGGACTCGATGATGGAACGATGTCGAATTCAATTCTATATCCATGCTGGATGATGGATAACACCCACCCATCAGATGTAATGGACTCCCAAACAGGAAGTTGGCTTTTCAGCCGGTCCCCAAATGAGAGGGGGGAGGGTGGGGTTGGAAGGAGAGGAAAGGTTCGCCCACCCCATCAGCGCTGGTGTTTGTCTCCATCAAAGCGGTGGCAGCCTTGCTGGAATTGCTGGGGCGGTTGTTTGCAGCGTTGCTGACGATGCTGTGGCTGTTGGCGGGGTGGGTATTGCTGTCAGTATTGTGGGTGGGTCCATGACCACTTACGTCGAGGAAGAGGTTGCATCTCCATACGCCGGGCTGTCATCCTCGACTCGTGGATCTTCTTCAACTTGTGGTCAGTCTTTGCATTGAAGAGGCCGGGCCCATCAAAGGGCACCTCCTCGATCCTCCTCTTCATCTCTTCCAGAAAGTTGCAGTTACGCAACCAGGCATGTCTCCGGAGAGAGATGGCGCTGACGAGAGCCCTCGAGTCCGTGTCCCCATGATGTCTAGCTGTGGATAGCTGTTGCACCGTGACCTGCATTGCCTCCTTTACGAATACCCGCGCCAGGTCGCCTTGATTATCTGGGAGGGCAGCGATGATGTTGTCCAGGCGCTGCATTATAAAGTATTGATAACGCGCCAGGGTCACCTCATTAGAGATTCTTAGGCCGAGTCCTGAAGCCGCACAGACCCGGCGCGCGAGGGAGTCCATCTTCCTTCCCTCTTTGTCGCGGGGCGCTGTGTGGCCCCACGCCTCCCGGCCTTGAGAAGATTCCACCACCACCGAGTTCGGTTTGGGGTGGCGGAGGAGGAACGGAATGTCCCCCTCCCGAACTCTGTACATAGCTTCTTATCTTCTCAAGGTTGGTTGAAGTTGAGCTGGGAGGTCCCATGGTTGGGTCATCGCTTGCCGAAGAGTGGTAATGAGTGGTAAAGCGATGGAGGTCGCTTGTTTGCCCCGCACTACATCGTAGAAACGATCGGTGCTGGGGCCAGGCTGGTGATTGACCTCGATTTCCAGCGACTTCACCAGCCTGGACATCAATTCAGCAAACGGGATGTGTGGCTCTTCCAGTGATGCAGGGCCTTGTGAGGTGACTGCAGCATCGGGTGCAGTTGAATCGACCTCGGACTCGTCCGAGTCCACCCGATATGGAGGCGGGATGCTGGAAGAAGAGTCCCCCCGCGACTGTGATCTACCGCTCCCCCGAGACGGAGCATGCCCGCTTCTCTCGAGGCTGTAGAATGAGGTTGATCCCGATGTGCTGGTGGGGGGGATCGGCCTCTAGCAGCCGGGTCGTAGCCGACGGATGGATGGTCAGGCCATCTCGGTGCGGAAGCGTACTGGGAATGGTACCAGTCGTCGGAATGGGCTTCAGAAGACCGGTTCCTCCGGCTTCTTGGTGGGGACAATCCGGTTCCAGTCGAGCCGAACAGGCGGCACAGGCATCGGGGGCCGGGCCCTCGGCGGGGAGTCTGGAATCTCAGCCTCGGAGAGCGAACTGCGAGGTGGATCCTGGTGCAGCTCCGATCCCGTAAGGCATGGAGAGGATGGAGGAATAGCTCTCATCACCGCCCGAATGGCCTGGCCCGAAGGCGTTGGTACCAGGACTGCGGTCAGGACTGAGGAAGTCGCCGAACCCGAGTGCTGGTGTTTCGAATGCTCGGGTTTCTTCGGTTGTTTAGCCGGTTTTTCGGCCTTATCGCTTTTGGCCTTCTCGTGCACAGACGGCTTCTCATGGCCACTGTGCTTCCTCTTTTCCCACTGTTTCTTGGGTGGGAAACAGGCTGCTCTCCCATGGCGGGAGCACCCTCGCCTGAAGGGCGTGAGGGCGGAGCAGCAGAGGACGGGGCCGGACGCTGCGGCGGAACGGCTGAAGACAGACGGCGGTCGGGTGGAGCCGAGGTTGTAGCAGGCTTAGCCACCAGGAGAGCCTGGCCCCACAGGAACTTACGTAAGCGGTTCTCCCTGTTCTTCCTGGCCTGTTTAGAGAAGGCCAGGCAATGGCCGCACTTGTCCGTCCTGTGGTCCTCTCCTAAACAGGTGAAGCACAGGTCGTGTGGGTCCGCATTTTGGAGCCATACTCTCCGCACTCACGGAACGCCGCTCGTTGCGCCATCGCGAAAAAAGGAAAAAAAGGATAGTATAGCGGGAGTAGATAATATTTTTGTTTTGTTTTGTTTTTATAGGAACAAGAAGAATGAGAAAAAACGGAGAGAGTAACTGGAACAATAAGAACAATATAACTAGGGATACTAACTTGGAAAAAGAGAAAAAGAGTTCGAAGCAAGAGAGCACGAGGAACGATCTAAGCGAGAGCGAAGCCGCACAAGGCACAATGAACGGCGGTCGCAAAGACTGGAAAATGGCAGACACTCCGCTCCGTATATACTGCTAGCAGGGAGGGGAGCGAAGTTTTCCCGCCAAACCATTAGCTATCAATCTTCCGGTCAAAGGCACTGCACAGGCGCAGCACCCATATGTGTGAGGCACAGAGGCCACGACGAAGAACATTTCCTGACATCCAATTAGTCTGTGTTTGCCCTGTTTTGCCCTGTCGCTCAGTTTCCAGGTTGCCTGGATGGAGCAGAAACTTGTTTCAAAAAGCAGATCTGTTTTGGAAAGACATCGGCTGCTACAAAAGTGCAAGCTAAAGATCAGACACTGAAATTCCAGGGAAGGTGTGTGAGGCCCCTTCAAAGTCTTCTGCTTTCTCACAGTGTTTGCAAAGACACAAATTTAAAAAAAAAACTGGCTGAGCATGAAGGAACCTAAAAATGCATTATTATAAAGAGACTTTGCTGTATTTGGAGTCAAGCTGTTGTTGCACCAAGTCTTGCCTACAGACCTGGAGAGTTGAACTGACCCCTCCCCCCCCCAACACCTCCATCATGTCAAAATTCATACAAGCTGGTCATTTGGGAGGCAGGACATAAAAAAGATCAGATGGACCCCAGTGGGTCTGTCCAGCCCAGCCTTCTCTCCACACCATAGTCAAACAGCTCCCCGTGGGATCCCACCAACAGGACTGGAGTGCAATAGCACCCCCCGCTCATGTTCCCCAGCAACTGAGGCACATAGGCATTCTCCTACTGGAGGCAGCAAAGAACCATGAGGACTAGCAGCTATCAATAGCTTCCTTCCCTCTGGATTTCCCAATCCCTTTTTAAAGCTGTCCAAAGCGGAGCTATCACTCCATCTCCGCTTGTTCACGGCCTGAAGTCGTCTTTTTTCTCTCCTGGAGAAAACATCTGCAGAGCCTCAGCTTGGGAATTGCTGTTTTCTGCAAGGCACCTGCCACACACGCAGGTGTCTGCGCCTCTCGCTTGTTGCCAGTGTACTTTATTAGAAAAACAGAGTGATTTATTGACAACGTTTCTGTGCCGCCCAATTGCCTGGCATTTATATCGGCATAGTTTCCAACCCGTCCGAATTGTTTTACTTTCTGAATGCGGAACTGCACGGTGGTTTTTAATTGCCTATATTTGTGCTTAGTCAACTTAAGAGCCCCCCAGGGAAGTCCAGCTATTGGGTGTCACAGCAATGGAATTATTCTATGACTCTTTAGATACGAAATGTCCTATCATCCTCATCATTTTGCAGCCATACTGGGAGTTGAAAGATTTGCTTCCATCTAAGCAGGCAAATGACTGTGCATCAAAATATACAATGCAAACTACAGAGAACAGAGTCAGTGTTTCAATGTTCCTTCATGGAAATGCTGCATATCAAATCAGGGCAAAAGACTACCCTGCAACCTGAAGTGGTACAGCCCTGCCAGAATGCCAGGGCATTTAAGGCAGCAAAGTCCAGTTGCAAGTCACTGAGAAATCGAAGGTCTCCCAGTCTCAGTTCAACAACAGTCCTAAGTGCTCAGCAGCTGTTGTTGAGAACGGGGCGAGAGCAAGAGCAAGAGCATAAAAGCTGCTGGTACCCAGTTAAAAAGAAAAAAACTCTGTCCATTTAAAAGTTGCTTAATTTGGTCTTCTGAGAGTAAAGAGATCTGAAGAGGGGATTATAGGTGGATGCAAGGGAACAGTTTGTAGCAGCCCTGATTGCTACTTGTTAAGTCCTTCGGATACAATTTTTTTCTCCATGCATAGGGAGAATGCAGCTTCCTGGGCAACAGACGATGTTCGCAAAGAGTAAGAATCCTGGAGAATCATCCCTGATGTAAAGGAGAGGGTGTTGGCCCATATGGCCATGCCCCCTCCACTGGCTCCACCCCTTTCCCAGCAAACCACCAATCACTTGGGAATTTCCTCATTTTCTCTAAGCCGTCCTGAGGCTTGTTGCAAAGGAAGGGATAGAAATGTTTTAATTAAATTACATCAATTAAATTATGCATGTCAAAAAATGTTTGTACTACCCAGAGAGCCCTCTGGGCTACTGGGGTGGTAGAGAGAGAGAGAGACGTTTCCCTGAGTTTTGGGCAGTCAAAGCTTTACACTAACATCTGGTAGTGTATTTTGCTTCTTTTGCCCCTGCGGGAAATGCAGTCCCAAGAGTTTCTGGATCATGCAGTTTGGTCCTTGAGTTAAAAGCAGCTCTGCTGGTTTAGCATGTCTTCTGAACTCAACAATGCTTGCTTAGAAGCCGGAATCCCTAAGCCAAAACAAGTCCTTGGCTATGATCCAATCTGTAATGGGTACAAAAAGCCAGCCACCCACCCAAGCTTGGATAACTCACAAAGCCCTTTGCTATTACTGCAGCGGCTGGAACTGGACCTCACAGGGATAGCGCTGGGTCCTGAAAACCTGGTGCTTAGGACAGAAAAAGTATGTATTTACATAGCCTCATTCACAGATGCTCTTAAGTCTATGTCTGTGTGTTTAAAGGCAGCCTTCTCTGTAGAAAGAGGTGTATAAACAAGGAAAGGGCATTTTGTTTTCCGCAAAAAGCTTCAGGTAGAAAGATGCAAGGAAAAACAGCAACGAAGACGCCCATTTGGCCAGCAGCCGGCTCATCTGGGGGACCCGGTGCAACTGGGAATCTCAGGGCCCCTGTTGCTTTAGTTCAGCCAGTGCCCACGTAAAGGAGTGATGTGGCACATGGCCTTCCAGAGATGCGTGGCTCCAGACCGGGCAAAACACCTCTGGCATTTCCAATGGCACTTGCAGGAGTGTGGGAGGGAGGGCTGGGCGGGGGGGGGGGAGGCCAAATGGAGACCCCCCCGCCCTTCCCACTTCTGCCTCATCGTTGCTGCAAAGGGAACCAGATTCTGTTTGTATCCCAGCCAGATCTAGTGGGCTGGTGTTTGGTTGGCTCGTGGCCTTTACAGCAACAGTGAAATTCACGGAGAACATCTGAAGCGGGGAAAATATATATTATATACACATACACAGCAGCAGATTTTAAAAATGTGCAAACATGCACCCTCTCCCTGGAAACCAGCCTCTCAAAACAATCTAACAAGGCAACGAGTTATTTGCCAAAGATCCATTCGGGATGATTAAACAGGAGAAGCGCCCCCCCCCCCGCTCGCCAGAAACCTATAAATCAAAAAGGAAGCGAAAGCTGCAATTGGATTTCTCATCACAAAGGGCTCGCAAGGGGGAACGGACCCACAGTGTCCGCAGAAGCATGTCAATTTATGACTCAGAAAGAAAAGGCCATACGGCAAAGCGATTCCAAACAGATAGCGAGGCGGCTTGCCGCAATCGCTGGAATGGAATTCCATGGCCATTAATCTTTGGGTGCAAAGTTGAAAACAGAGGATCCGAGGGCTGCGCGAAGTTCTTGCCATAGAACCTGCTAAGGCAGGTGACCCGATGTGGCACCTACGGGCACCTCCAAAGCATCCATCGAAGGCCCAAGAGCACCTGAATCCCTCACACACATTT